CTGTTGATTGACCTGTGGGGAATTAAGTATCCTACAGTACAGATATTAATAAAGAATATATGATTTACCATAAGAAAAATAAATAAATATTTATTTCAATCGTAAAATATATTTAAATATTTGCAATTCCAATCGATATCAAACAAACTGATATTTTCAAGGGTTATGAACTCTCTTAAAATTCAAATGTATGAATTTTAAGTTTTATAAAAATGATCACAATAGTAAAATTGTCAAATTTATGCATTTCATAAATTGACATGAGAACATAACAATTTTTTTATTAGATGAACAGAAATAGTTAATTTACTGAACATAAAAGTAGGATCAAGTAATGTCCAAGTTTGATACTGAATGAAAATATCACTCATAAATTGAAGTTACATTTTATTGAATTAATTAATGAATTATTAAGAAGTTAGTAGTTGTGAAGCAAAGGGAAAGGATTTGCCTAACATAATAGGATTTGCCTAACATGAGAAAGGCTGTTTCTTCCTCAATTTCTTCCTGTACCCCATTACGAGAATAAAAACCTTTTGAAATTTTTTATCCAGAATACGGGTGGATGCTGGAAATTTGATATCTGGATTCGTGTTTCCCGAGAGATAATATATACTTTTGGAAAAGAAAATCCATTATATTATTGATTAGTATCTTCGGAAAATATATATTTGAAACTGGTCTAGTGTATTCCGAAAATAAAATCCGGAAATTCACATATTTGATGGGTCCAGAAAGAAACAGTCATCAGAAATGGATGTTTCAGCCTGCACTTTTCTTCTTTCATTATGTATTTCCATAATTACAAATATTACTTTCAACCTTTCATTAAATTATTTTTTTTTCTCTTATCAGTTCTCTTTTTATTTTTTAATCAATTTTTGAAAATCAGTTAAAAATTCAATAATTTAAAATTTGAAATACATTTAAGAAATAAACGTACTTCAAAATACGTTTATTTTTTATTTGATTTTTAAAGCAACAAAAAAGTATATTTTTTATTTAGTTGTTATTTTTAATTTCTTAAAATATTATAATTGTATTTGGTTGTTATTTTTTATTTGAAATTTTTGATTTGATTTTTTTAAATATTGTAAATGTATTTGGTTATTTTTTTTATTTGAAATTTTGTTAATCTTTTTCATATTTTATTATTTATTTTTATTTTTCAAAATTTATTATTTATTATTTTAAATTTAATATGTTTTTTTAAAAGAAAATAAGTTAAGAAATAAACGTATTTCGAAGTACATTTTTTTCATTACACGTATTTTAAAATATGTTTTTTCATAAACGTATTTCGAAATATATTTCTTCATTTTTGAAGTATATTGGTTAAAACTATATTTAGTTTTTAAACGTATTTCAAACTTTAAATAGTTGAATTTTTAATCGTTTTTCGAAAGCTGATTAAGAAATAAAAGGAGTACAATAAATGAAGAGATAAGAGAAAAAGTAAAAAAATAATAATAAAAGGTTGAAGATTATATCTGTAATTTTGGAGTTACAAAATGAAAAACAAAATAAAAGGTGCAGGATGAAACACCCATGAAAAATTTCTCAAATTGTAGACCAATCCACATAAAATGCCCAATTCCAAAAGGTTGTTTCATCCTGCACTTCTAATGATTTCATCCTACACCTCCAATTTTAAAAAATGACCTTATTTTTTTTTTATCAGATTTTGAAATTCAGTGAAGAGAAATCTTTAATCAAATTTTAAAATTCAATGAACACACAACAAATGAAATGAAATGCAGAGGTTTTTGAATTCTGAAAACAGTTTTGAAATTAAAAAAAAAATGAAAGTGCAGGATGAAATGATTAGGGTTGCAAAGTAAAACAACCATTCCAGAATTTCTGATAAAAATATAGTCTAAATCTGGTTACTTTTGAAATTTCTGACTCACCTCTTATCTATTTTATCCAAACATAGTCTAAATCAAATTTTCATTTATTAATTTAAATTGGACAATAAATTCAATGATATTTTATTAATGAAACTATAACCAAAGGATATCAAATTACAACTATATCCAAGCTTGTAAGAGTTCTTAATAAAAGTGAGTATAATTGAATTGAACTTAATCCAATTGTTAATCCAATCCAACTAAGTTCTAATGAATTGAGATGAGTTGAGTTTATATTTTTTCATTGGACACATTGATTCAATACAATTAAACAATAATTGGGATAAAATACTTAAGATGTATTCTTACGTCTTTATTTTTTTCAAGCAAATGGTGTAAGATATCTACTATTTAAGCAAATAGTAACTTGTATAAAATATTTGTTCATAATATTCATATGATTAACTATAAAATTATTTTCTTAACTAAATTCAATTATTATACAAAAACTACTATCTATATGTTTATTATATAATTAGGTTAGAATGAATTTTATTTCATTTGAAATCATATAAAGTAGTTACTTCTGAAGAAACTTTTCTTTTTTCTGGTCAAGGAATCCTCTAATTTGAGCACGCATTAGATATGGCAACTGATTATTCTATGGTTCCGCATCTAATAATCCCTAGCGAGATTGGGAAGGGGAAAAAATTGCTTATCAAGTGAGGCAATTTAACTTCTCGTCCCATCTTCACAAATAATTTACTATTACTGTATATATTTATATATGTTTGAGTTCAGATGTTATTTTTATACCTCCATCTTCTATGATTATGAAAACAAATTATAATAGTAAGATAACAAACAAACAATTCCACATTAAACTAAAAATTGAATTTAATTATTAACTTTTTATTTATTTGTTACTTATTAATTTAACATATAGAATTATGAGAACTATATAAAAGTCCGACAAATTTCTTGCTAGTTCATAGCATTGAGCATGGGTGAGGTTGGGTTTCTCCGCTATTATTAATAGCTATACAACTATGGTAAAGTTTGAACTTTACTACACCCCTAAGATCTTGGAGTACTTCTCATTCAATTCTAGAATGCGTTTTTCAGTCTTAATCCAACCCTAGCAAAGGAGCCAATTGCAGAATATATGCAAAACCAATGTAAGAGGATGTCATGCATAATCACAGGAAAGCAAACGTTCTTACATATTATTACTTTTCTGGAAAGCATACTTGTATCATACATCCATTGCAAAAGTAGAAGTCACCACAATCCTTATTTATTCTGGTCTCACAACATCATTCATCCTTGAAGGGAAGCTTAAAAAACACTACACACTCTTCAGGAGCAAAGACCCAGTTAAAATCGGTGGGGATATGAAAATTTATCACACAAGACCCCGCCTGCAACAACAATCAGAAGATTTCATAGCAAAAAACATGAGGAAACCCTTAGCCCTAAACAAAGAGAGAGACAAAACAAATCGTATTCGGTAAAGAGTTGCATTCAAGGGCTTGCCCGGAAAATAAAGGCAACGGAATAGAAAACCAGAGTATGTACCTGAAGGGGGTATCTTAAGCCTAAGATGCACTTTGAGTAACACTTCCTATTTTTTTTAGATCAAAGATTTCAATCCAGTATCCATCAGGGTCCTTGATGAATGCTATACCTCTCATTTTCCCTGCAGAAAATAATTCAAAAATAAAGAAAACTAGGCAGTGATATTTGAAGCAGTAGTAATGCTGGAAAAGTCTGACGCAATCAGCAAAATTCCGACATCTACCATCAACATTCAACATTTGTGCATTACTAGGCTACTAAAAAATTGCAGCCAACAATTATCAGCCCCACGTCCAGATAGCTGTGCAAGTAAAGTTTGATCCATTTTCTTTAATCATTGCACTAACACAAAAATCAGATCACAGTAGCACCGGCATCCATACAGAAGTCAACTGAGTGATTCCATTGATCAATAAGAATAAAATCTAATTGTTGTCCACAGGTTCAGCATTCCTAAATAGATACAATCACCCTAATTTCCCTAACTGCTTTTTATTAATAGGCGTAATAATGACAGCCAGCCTACTATCTTTTCTCCTAATAATATATACCTTCAACTGCATTTCTCGTATAGAGAGAAGAAAGTTTTTGTTTAGGACGGAACATTGTTCTGTTTAGGTTTTTTTCATCTAGTTATAATTAAGTTAAAGTGCAAGCAAGGGATGGGGTACTGTCGTAGGCATTTGGTAATTCTGGTAGGTTGTCTTATTAATCTATATATAACATAATCGCAATACTTATAACAGTTGAAACCACAACCGTACACCAAAACTTGTGAGGAGATGGTTCTTATTCTCTGTAGTTTTTCTTTTCGTGATACTGTACAATTGTTCTTTCTGTGCTCCACCAATAAAGGGTCCCATAATGCATCTGGCAACTCCAAGGTGGCTTCAAAACACGGGAAGTGTTGGGGTGATGACAATGATGACTCTGAGACAGAGCAGAACAGTGTGTTGGTGCACGAACAACAGCACTAGAAGAGTTCAGACGATCATGGATACAAAGCTGGTGGGAAAGATTCGCAGCAGCATCTGAAGGTGCTGATCAAATAGAGTGGATGCAAAGGCAGACAAGTTTTAGCATTCTAAGCAGCAAAGCAAACCAGCTGAACAGCTCCACCTCGCCTTCATCAGCATGACGATGTCACAGTGCATTCGTTTCACTTGTGGTGCCAAAAGACTGATGACTTCTTTCCAGGTTAGGCCTCTCCCTGCGGGGCCTACTACTTTAACACGCAGGAGTTTTTCAACCAAGGCAATGAAGGTTTTTCAACAAATTAAACGCATTTTTTGGATATTTACTTTCAATTCCAAGTAACCCCGATATGAATGACAGATTGACAACTACAGAGTAATATACTATGTCTAGCTTATTCAACTCAAACCCAAGCTTTTTAATATTTCATACTCAGGTTATCCGTGCACATCTCTAGAATTAAATATAGATGTCATCAAGCACTCGAATCATACAGACCACAAAAGAATATAATAATATATTATTCTGCATGGAACAAAAGGAATTCATGTTGTCCTGTATTGTAAAACAGACATAAAACACAAACAATTCATAGATGTTAAAAATGACAATATATTCGAAAATGTACATGAGAACCACTAGAAAGCTAGAATAAATTGAAAACTAAAGAAATTTGTTACCTTCATCTGGTTTCTTAACAAACTCAACTCCCAGATTCTGAAATCTTTCACATGCCTTTACTGTGTCATCAACAGTTATGCCAATGTGTCCTGTAATCAGAAACAATTTACTATCAGAATTCAATCCCCTATTTATCCAAAAAAACAGAGTACTAACCCTTTTTTATGCTAATCATAATCCTAATTAAAAAGGAAAACAAAATCATGAGATATGGAAATATGGTAGCCAATCCTGATAGATGGCGAGGAAATTCAGACACTAACACATAAGATATTCATAGGTATGCTAAAATAAAGATAATACTGGATATTTTCACAGGATCTAACATCGTTTAGTTACTATAAACATTTCAAAAGATGAAGACCAACGAAATTCATCATTTGATCAAATTAATGTCTCTGTAGACATTTTTAAAAGAACCAATTACTGTGCTAAGGTGTACACGAGAATTTTTTAACAAAAGATGTTTACAACTCTGTATTTCATGAAACATGTTATCTCAAAGCATCACCTAAATTTTGCAACTACAAGGGGCAATGATAGCCAGTAATTCAGCTTTTTTTCTGAGATAACAATCTGTAATCACCAAATCAAGAAAATAAAAAGGCTTTATAGTACAAACTGCACCGTGGCAATTACCAAATTAAATTAAATGAAATATCACACATACCAAAGCCGCGAGGTTCAGAATTTCCATTGTGGTATCCTTTGAACTCTGGATCACTTTCAGTACCCCAATTACTGTACATTATTGTGATTGTTAGATAGGAGACTGCTGGGATAAAGAAATAAACAAGTTTATATTCCTTACTGTGTCAGTTCAATTGTAGCCTTCTGGGAAAAGGTCCAAACTGTTTTATCAACTGGATTACTCGGAGCTTTTGACGTATCCTAAAAGACAAAAGGTGGAAGAAAAATATCAAGAGCATATCTACAAAAATTAGAAAAACTGTGTATACGAGCTGAGAGAAAGTTGTCAGTAAGAATTATTTACAGAAGATTTAATATTGCCATCACAGTATATACATAATCCACATCCAGTGTTCCAATTAGCAGGACTAAATTTTCACCCACAAATAGGTTCAAAAATATGTCATACCTCATAGCCCAAAAAATACAGGCTGAACTTCATGTCCACAAAATCCAGCCTCTTAAGCAAACTAAACCAACCAACAAACTGTCATCAGCATTCATAGCATTGACAACGGAGAAAAAATTCTAATAAAAAGGAATCTGGTCACAGACACAATATTTGCGAATATAAAAACAGACCAAGGAATTCGTTACAAAAGACACAATATATTAGTTCAAATTTAATTTTAATAGAGTGTCAGGACAAAGATCTTTTTGGTTCCAATTAATCAAAAATAATTTTAGATATAACTTTTAGACTAGTTATTATAGAAGGTAAAAACTCAACAATATGACATGTGTAATATCCAAAATGTAGAACATGGAGACACAAATATATACATTACATCATTATGAATCATTTCAATTGAAATATTCCAAATCAGGTATAGAAAAAGTTAGTCAAATATAACAATCTAAACATATTGTCACCTAATACAAAAGTAATCTAATCCATATCTAAAATCCAAAAAGTGAAAAGAAGATATAATTCATTTAAGACATTTCATTCCCTTCTTGATCATCGTCATCATTGAAAAAGACACTTTAGCCGAGATCCATTTAAGACAAATTAACAACGTTAAATAAATTCACATTATCTATGATAGGAGAATAAATAAAAACATTTCCACTAATACATATATAATCTAAATATTCATGATTATATGGGATTGGTTACTTATTTATATAAGCATAATACAAATTTACAAGTTTAAGAGTTTTTAAAAAATGAGTGTAATTTGTCCTTGTTAACTTTGTGTTTGAGTCATGTCATAATTATGTCAAAAACCCAAAATAAATGTTTTTAAATTAAACACTACATGTCATATGCATGTTAAGTGTCCGATGAGTGTAGGACGTAGGACATACCATTTAAGTGGTGTGCATGAGGCTCATAGCTTCAAATTAACTCTTATTTTCTATCATTTCTATTTATATTCTCTATCTATTTTTATTTCCTCTGTCATTCAATGGGAATGTTAATGTGACCCCGATATTGATGATAGTGTCTTATTCTAATAAAATCCAATTAGATTTGCGAATAAATATCCAAATTGGTCCACGAGAGTGATTTGATTAATAGATTCCTCATTAAAATTTTCATATACATAAATTCCTGAAAATTTTATCTCTTTGCACATAAGTCCCTCCATTTCAAATATAAGGAAAAATTGATATTTGGACATCAAATACCCTCAAAAGACTTATATGCAACAAAATGGATTTTTCAATGACCCATTTACATGTAAATTTTAATCAGAGACGTATCATATTTTAAGGACCAATTTGGGTATTTACTCTCAGTTCGGAAGAAGGTTAGGTTCACTTTCAAGCAGCAAGAAAGAAAATAAATAAATAACCAACATAATAAAAGGTTGTATCCAAAAAAGAAAACTCACGACATGCCCAAGACGCGAGAATAGAAATCAAGGCTCACTTCGGGGTCCTTGATTCGAAACATCTGCAATTAAAACCAAAGTTAAGAAGTCAAAAGGTAAACCCTGAAAAATAATAATAATAATAATAATGATAAGCATAAAGATAAAAGGGCTAACAGTTTGCTGCATAATGTAACCCTTGGTAGCTTCGTCCGGAGTTGTATGCAGACCGGGGTTGTTGGCGGGCGATTCCTTGGGTCCCGAAGCCATTGACAAGAATCGCAATCGATTCAATTTCTGAAAAACAAGAAAAAGAAAAAGAAAAAGAAAGCATTAACCATATAAGCATAGGACAGGAGTGAGGCATTGATTGAAAAGAGGGATTTGGAACCTTGGTTTTGGGGGTGAGAGAGAAATACGATGGAATTGAAAAAGGTGATAGAAGGGGTTGGGAATTGGCTATGAATCGGAGACGAGAAAGGCGATGTAAGGAAGCTGTGGTTGCCATTTGTGGATTTGGTATTTATATGAATAATTCAGAGTGAGAGAGAGGGAGAAGAGAAAGTAACTGTACCTTGAGACGTTGAAGTAGATGAGGATGAGACTGCTAGAGAGACACTCGATATTATGAACACATTTTGTCCTGTGGCTATTTAACTAAGCTTAATTGTAAATTACCTTACCATAAATGATTTTTACCACCCATTTCTTTTCTCATATTTTATTTTACATATTTTTTAATATTGATGTGAGGCTGATGTGTTGTTATGTGAGGCTAACACACACTATCGTGGAGCTATGTGACTACAGATAAGATATAAAATTAAGAAAATAAAATTTATGAAAACTATAAATGGCACTTGTATAGTGTATATCCTTCTCGTCATAAGTTATGATTGACTCACGAATCGATTAGGCTTCGAGTCGATTAATTCTTAGGTTGATCGTTTTTTGTCAATCATTCCGATTATTTTTTGGATCAATCATCTTGATCTTTCCGTTATATACAAAATAAAGATTAAATTAATATTTAATTAATAATAACTACGAATAAATCTTTGGAAATATAAGAAGAAGATTGAAAAGAAACGTGTGTACTGTATTATTGAAATAGCAGAATGGAAGCTATTATATATAGTGGTATATGAAAGTTATAAAATTGTTATAAAACTAATTGATTTATACAATCACTAATACTTCCCTTTTAAGTCAAGGACTCAAGGGATACTACTCTAATTTTCTAATTTTCTTTCTCAAATATTCAAATCTCTCAAATTTTAAAGCTTTTATAAACCCATCATTCAATTGTATTTCAGTCTTGCACTAGCTAATGTTATCTTTCATTTATTTACCATATTTATAAGCAAGTGATACTTCACCTCTATCTGTTTGCTCCTTCCATGATTCACCAATTTTTTTGATAAATTTATAGCATAAATATTGTCAATTTTTAGTTGTATTGTTATATCTAAAGAACTTTGTATTGTTGTCTCTAAAGAACTTTTAACTCTCTCATCAATTCTTTAAGCCAAATTCCTTAGCATGCACAATAGTTTTCTAGCTATGTACTAAGCTTCACAACTTGACACAGCTACTACTGGTTGCTTCTTAGAATTGCTTTTTCTCTCCACTAGATCACCACCATAATCAAAATTAGTGAATCCAATCATTTCAAATTCAATTTTATATGCCTTCCAGTTGGAAATAAAATCCCATAATAAGTTGTACCTTGAACGTACCTCAATAATCTCTTGGCAGCAATCATATGAGACTTCTTTAGGTTGCTCATAAATCTGCTTATCAAACTGAATGACAAGTTTGGTCTGCTATTACAGAGAAATCGCAATGAGCCTATAATTTGTTTGAATATAGTCTCATCTACATTCTCTTCAAAGTCATCCTTCATCAATTTCAAGTTAACCTCTACAAGACTCCTTGTTGCATTGCACGAAGTCGTGCTGAATCTATCTAGCAATTCTCCAGCATACTTCTTTTGATGCAAAACCAGTCCTACAGCTGTGTAGGTGAATTCCATACCCAGGAAACAACTCAACTTTCCCAAATCTGTCATCTCAAATTCATCTTCCATAGTTTTCTTGAATTCTTCTATGATTAGAGGATTTGATCCAGTAACAAGTAGATCATCTACATAGAGATAGATTATCTATGATTAGTGTACACACCATGCTCTACAACACATTTTGTAAATCTGAGATTGATAAGGAACGAATCAATGCTTTTATTCCAAACTCTAGGAGCTTGTCTCAATCCGTAAAGGGCTTTCTGCAATCTGTAAACCTGATGTTCTTTACACTTTTCAACGAATCTAGGAGGTTGTTGGACATACACCTCCTCCTCCAAGGGTCCATGCAAGAAGGCTGATTTTACATTAAGTTGGAACAATGACCAATCCCTTTAAGCCATTGCTATCATCAAACTTATAGTCTCTATTCGAGCCACTAGAGCAAAGACTTCAGAGAAATCTAGTCATTGTCGTTGAAGAAACCCCTTTGCCATGAGTCTTGCCTTGTGCTTTGAGATTGAGTCATCGGGATTCAGCTTCTTAAAAACCCATTTTACTCCAATGTATCGTTTTCCAGTTGGAAGATCAACTAGTCTCCATGTTCCATTCTTCTCAATGGATATGAGTTCCTCCTACATTGCATTTCTCCAAACCGATTGCTTTAGTGCTTCATTCTCATCTATAGGTTTTGCTCCGGCCATTAGTGCTATGTGAACCAAATCTCCCTCATCATTAACTTGTGCATCAGAATATACCTTAAAGTCAGAGAGTCTTTGTGGGATTACTCTTTGTCTATGTGGTCTTTGAGACACAACATGTTGTGGTGTAGCATTGCTTCCTACAGCTTCCTCAAGCTCTATTAGTGTCGAGTTATCAGTAATACCACTCACCACTGCTTTCTTTAGACTAGTCTGCATTAGTTTTCAGTCTCAACTCTCATTTTCTAGCACCACTTTCTCTTTGATTGGTTCATAGAGTTTATAAGCTCTAGTAGGATGATATCCAATGAACACCATTGCCTCACATTTATCTTGTAGTTTGGTTCTTTTCTGATTAGGTACATGTCTAAACGCTAGAGACCCAAAAACTCTAAAGTGACCGATTGTGGGTTTTACTCCAGACCATACTTCTAAAGGTACTTTACCTTCTAGTTTCTTTGTAGGACACCTATTCAGGATGTAGACAATTGTTGACACTACCTTATCCCACAATTTTTGTAGCAATCCTTTCTCCTTGATTAGACTTTTTGCCATATTCAATATTGTTTTGTTTCTTCTCTCAGCAAGTCCATTATGTTGAGGTGTGTACAGTGCGGTAACCTCATGTGCAATTCCACTAGTCTGATAGTGATTTTCAAAAGTATTAGAGGTGTACTCACCTTCGCTATTTGTTCTAAGAATCTTCAATAATTTTCCACTCTCCCTTTCTGCATATGCTGAATCTTATGAAGATTTATAATGTGTTACTTTTTATTCTGATTACATACACCCATATTATTAAATTCATCCACAAAGGTAATAAAATACTTGTTTCCAGCTAATGAAGGCACTTCAAATGGTCCGCATATATCAGAGTATAAAACCTCTAAACAATCTTTGGATCACATGCTCAGTTGTGCTTGAAATGGCATTCTGGTTTACTTTCTAGCCAAGCAGGCCTCACGCATACTCTCAGGTATTGTGATATTTAGTGTTCCGGATACCATGTTCTTCACACCAAGTTGTTGTAGATCTTTGAAATTTAAGTGACCAAACCTCAAATGCCACATCCAGCTCTCATCATTCTTCATGGTGGTCAAGCATTATAGGTTTTCTACAACCTTCATGTTGATTTGAAATGTTTTGTTCTTGGAAAGCTTGCTCCTCAAGATCAGATTCTTGCTAATATCAAATAACTCGATTTTGTCATAATTTCCCATGATTGTTGTAAAACCTTTCTACACCAATGGGCCAATGCTCAATAGATTACATTTCATGGCAGGGACGAACAACACGTTGGAGATTACCGCATGCACATTCTTCCTTCTAATGACAACATCTCTAATTCCTTCCACCTTCAAAGTCAATTCCTTCCACCTTCAAAGTGTCATCATCAGCAAATTTCACCTTGTTTTTCTTTTTTGCATCAAAGTTGATCAACCACTCCTTATGACAGGTCATGTGATTCAAACATCCAGAATCTAGATACCAAGATTCAATCTAAGAGCTAGAACTTTTTGCAGTGATAGTTACCATTAAGGTTTATGGTTCAGAGTCTGAATCTTCTTGTGCCATATGAGCCTCCTTGTCCTGATACTTCTTTTGATTTCCCTTGTTATCATAACACTCATATGAGTAATGTCCAAACTTGTGACAATTAAAACACTCAACACTTCTTTTATCTTTCTTTTTTTTATTCTTCTTTAATCTACCCTTTCCCCCCACTGAATCAGACCCGTCATCTTGATAATCTTTAGTTCTGTCAGCCTTCCAATTTCCCTTTGCTCGTTTCTCTTTCTACTTCTTTTGTTTCTTTCTTTCATCATTCTTGACACGATGTACTCTCAAGGCTTGCTCGTCATTCTTGACAGGAATTTTGTCAACCAACCTCATCTCGTGCTTCCAAAGAACTTTGAAATTCTTCAATCTTCATCTTTTTCAAATCTTTTGATTCTTCTATAGCCACCACTATATAGTTGAATTTCTGCAGCAGAGATCTCATGGTCTTTTCAATTATCATAAGATCAGTAATAGATTTTCCACATCCCTTCATCTGATTCGTGATTGTGAGTATTTTGTTGAAATATTCACTTATTCTATCAGTATCTTCCATTTGTAGTAACTCATACTGCCTTCTCAGGGTTTAAAGTTTCACTTTCTTGACTTTTTCATTTCTCGCATGACTTTGCACGAGAATATTCCAAGCTTCTTTAGTTGTGATTGCATTTTGAATCTTCTCAAAATGTGCATCATCAACATATTGATGAATTATCAACAACACTTTGTTATCTTTCTTTCTGGCCACAACCTTCTGAGCACCCGAAGCAAGCTCTTGACAGTCCCCTTCAACAACATCACTCACATCTTGATACTTGAATAGTACCCGTATATACTCTATCTATTTCAATTTTTCTTCGTAAGAACTAGAAGATTTGCTGATGAAATATCACTGCGAGGCATCCTCTAACCACTTAAACTTGATCAAGAAGTGAAATCTTGACAATCTTCTTCACGCTTCAACCACTCTGCCTAACCACCAATCTGAGACGTGGGGATTTCTGAAGCACGGACCTAGCAACCTAGGCTCTGGATACAAGTTCTATTGGAAATAGAAGAAGACTGAAAAGAAACTTGTGTACTGTATTATTGAAATAGCAGAATGGAAGCTATTATATACAATGTATATGACAGATATAAAACTGTTATAAAACTAGCTGTCTTGACTTATACATTCACTAATATAAATCAATTAATTATGATTGTATTTAATACTTTTTTTATGTACTTAATATCTTTTGAACTATCACTGAGTTTAGTATAAAATAAAAGTATATTCT